AAAAAACCATTATATTCTTCCTAATGCTTAAAAAAGAAAAATGTTTCCAAGAATGGAATCACAGATTTGGCAGATTTCTTAAGTGTAGTGGAGAGTACTTTGAATGTGATAAGGTTATTTGGTTAAAAACAATTAAATACTTGCCTTGAAAAATTTTTTTCTGGGTTTTGTTTCCAGTACCCCCATTTCATTTTTGGGACCTATTGCCAAAATTTCCTTTCTGTCCATATTAACTAATGAACTAATCCTGAATACAAGAATGTGTTTTATTTTCTACTTCTCAAGATGTAAAATTACAATATGCATTGTAAAAATATATGAGGAAAATCACACCATGTGTATATTCCAAACATTTTAAAATCAGTTTGTAACTAAAATATTTTATTTTGTTTATGTAAATATAATATGGTAGAAGTGCAAAAACAATCACAAGCATGATATAATCAGGGATACTATTAAACTTGGGTTGATATTGTATATATATCATTTAGACAAGGAAATACCCGCAAGAAGGGAGAGCTACAGATTTTGTAACCCAGGGATTTCCTGTAACGGTGGAAACACCAACACAGAAGAGCAAACAGAGCTTCTTTGAGTTGATCTATTATAGTTGAAAAGAGAATAATGTCTAGATTATGGAAAATTATACAATGATCTTGTGTTAGGCCAGGTTGACTAGAGAAACAAATGCAGAGCTACTCGTATACATGTAAGAGCGAGCTTTATATCAAAGAGCAATTGTATACTGAGAAAACATCCCAGCCCAGTCCAGATCAAGTCCATAAGTTCAATATTAGTCCATAGGTCTGATACTAGTCCATAAATTCCTCTTCAGAGTCAGACAGCACATACAATGATGCCAGATGCAGGAAGATCACGGCTGGTGGGTGACAAGTCTTGTGAATCCAGTGGCAGTGGAGGCATCTCAGTGCTGGTGCAGGTCTCCACATAGCTCCTTCAGCTGTCTGAGTATGTCTCAACAAGAAGACGAAGCAGAGAGAGAGGAAGTTTCCACAATTCTTATGAGAAGGTCATGCCCACAAGAAGGGATTATCAGGCTGTGACATGTTTGACAAGCTAGACTTCATCCCTACACTTATTTATCAAGTTGACATGAAATTATATAACTACCACAGGCATTGCCATTAGAATGAGGAAAGGCCAAGATTCCTGGAACATATGGTTTAGGAATCTTAAACTTCTGCATCATCTGGGTCAATGAAAACTCCAAAGTCTTCATTTTGTCTGCCATCATTACACATGTCATCATTAGTGCAACAAAATGTTTCTCTCAGGAGATCATGGAACGCCTGGAACATTCCTGCCTCACAAGACCGACAGGATAGCTTTGTATAACGATACAAATATCTTCCTATAGAGAAGAAAAGCAAATGTGATCATCTGGTTCCTATAAATGGTCTCTATTCAGAGTCTCATCATTTTTCTGTATACTGGAATGGGCTATCAGGCTGTGTATGCCTCCCATCTATGTCCCTCTAATTATGAGCAAGCAAAAGGTATCTGCCTCCCACCCCCAAGTCTATATATGGAGAATTCCTGTTTCATTCCCTCTCCCATGATCCTGAATTTCATGCACTTCTGGACTCAAGGGGTGGACACCATTGATGATATTTTCTGTGTCTCTGTAGCTCCCACTTACCTGTATTACGATCACTAAAGTAGTAGTGATCTGTTGTACAGGTCCTGTTCTGTATTAGCACATTAAACTTCCAACAAGCTTTCATGGTTCCACGGCATTGATATCCATCAAAGTAATCACAGACATAGCAATTTCGAATATCTACAGAAAGGGAGGAGGTTTTAAAACAAAGCTCTAAGGAAAATAATTTCTCTTCAGAAGCCTGCTCCTATTTAAAAATATTTATATTTGGACTGTGAAAACCTCATAATGGGAAGTTGTCAGTCTTCCCAGCCTTTGTCAGGGGTCCTTACTTCACCCTTGCCACCTCCCCACCCCCAAAAAGTAGGTGACAGCTTTGAGCCCTCAAAAATCCAAGTCCATCTTCCTCCAAGGGCTGGCTCTAGTGCCTACCATGGGGACCTTGAGTAGTGAGTAAGAAGAATATATAGAGAATTAGCAAGGTAGAGCACTCCAGAATGTTCACTTTCAACATGGCATTATTTATCCTGAAACCAAAAACCAATTACACTTACATTTCAATGGTAGGACTCTGTCTCCTGTGAAGAGAAGAAATTTTCTCTTTAAACCATTTTCCAAAACAAAACAACCCATTTTTCAGTAGGGCCAGAATCCAAGTTTAGAAACCTAACTCTTCGTCTCCATTATCTCACCACTCATCCTTGCCTCCTTACCCAGGCTTACCTTCATCCATGAAGAGCACAATGAATATGCCCAGCAGCAGCAACTGGTACATTCTTGAACCCATTCCTGAAAGGTTCTTGTGGGAGTTGCTAGCTTTATTTATTCCCATCACCTGCCCTCAGGCACTCCACTAGAAACATAAATTTCAGATCAAACCACCTTAATCTATTCCACAGTGTTCCCAGGAGCGAGAACATCCTGTCTGTGTTTGATTAACTTCAGCTACTTAAAATACAGTCCATCAGTGGCCGCAACAACAGGGTTAAACATAAGAACAATTGTGAGAATGGCACAGGGCTGAATTGTGTTTCATTCTGTTGTACACAGGGTCGCATAGAGTTAGAATACTGACAGCACATAACAACAACAAGCCTTCCAACCTAGAAGACCAACCTTGTAAGTTGTTTGCCATGTTTGAGAAGTACAATGGTTAATTCTGTATATATGTCCCTGCATACACATATCTAGTCTTATATGTACTTTTAGATATTTCTATAAAACAGTCAAAGAATTAAACTGAGAAAATGTGCTGCATAAGATCCCTTTAAACTTTTAAGAAGGAAAGATTTCACCTTAGAGTGTGCCTGACCCTGGCCTTGGTATTTTCAATGGCTTCATGTGCATGTAAAGCTGGACAATGAATAAAGACCAGAGAAGAATCGATGCATTTGAATGATGGAGTTGATAAAGAATTTTGAAAGTACCATGGAATACCTGAAGAACAAACTAGGCTGTGTTGGAAGTACAGCTTGAATACTGCTTAGAAGTGAGGAAGATGACATTTTATCTCATGTACTTTGGACATGTTATTTAGGACAGCCCAGTTTCCGGAAAAGGACATTATGCTTGTTCATCATGCAAAAAAAAAAAAAAATTAGAAACCCCTCAATGAGATGGGTTGCCACAATGACTTCAACAAAAGGTTCCAACATAACAATGGTAGTGAAGATGACAGGGGCCTGGATAGTGTTTCATTCTGTTGTAGCTCTGAGCTGGAACAGTTTTAGTGGACTCAACCAATAACAGAGATACTTTAATTTTTGTATTAATTTTTATGCCTCCCTGTATACCTATATGACTATGCACATACATATTCAAATATAAACTTGTTTTTCGGTCATTGCTGGTGTTGTTACTAAATTACGTATGTCAAAGTCTTGTTACAACCCTTGTGGAAAGTGATTTGTGCTACTTAAAACAACTGGGAATAGAAATACCCTACAACTAAGCAATACTTTTGCCCAATATATACTCCAAAGAAGTAAGAGGCTCAAATGAACAGACATATGTTCTCCTATGTTCATCTAAGCAGAGTTTCCAATAGCAAAAACCTGGAAACAGCCCAAATGTCCATCAGTAGAAGAATGGATAAAATGGCTCCGGTACATAGACACAATGGAATACTATTCATCCCTAAAAAAAACCAAAAGAGTGATGAAATCATGAAATAGCTCATGACACAGATAGACCTGGAAACCATTATGTTGAGCAAAGTTAGTCGAGAGTGAGTCCCCACTACTATAAGAATAAACACCAAGACAAAGGCAGGTGTTTGTTATCAGGTCATTCAATTTTCTAATTTGTCCTCCCAAGCATGAAGGTAGTGTGCCTGCCTAATGCTTATAATCTGCATATCACCCCCTTATTTGTACATTTTAATAAGCAGTTTGCCAGAGGTGGCCTCAATTCAGCTAGGGTCAGTTTCTTATGTTGTGGGGATGTGGGCTGTGAGGAAAAGTCCAATCAGTTCTTGCATATAATATTGAATACTATGATGGAATACTATGAATAAATATTGTGAGAAGATACAATACCTGCAACACACCTTTCCTGATTTTAAACTTTGCAGTGTTTCCCTCATTCTGTTCGCACAAGTGCCTCTTGATCCATGTGCTTAATTGTGCTCATGGGGAACCCAAATCAACAAACACTGCTACAAAGGTATTCAGTAAACTTTAATGGAAATTCAAGTCCAGAGATGGAGTGAGGCAGATCTGTCTTTGAGAAGTGGGTAAATCAGGGCAACCTTCTCAAAGACAAAGGACTTAGCATTATTTATATAGACCCCACCCAGCCAAGGGGAGAAGATGCCTGATGTTATGTTCCTAATAGGAAATTTTGACCTAGTTTCTATCCAGCCCCTGGTGAACTAGACCTTGTGCTATGAACAACCAGGACTTTGATTCTGTCATTTTTAGGTGTACAACATCCTTCATAGGCTACACCAGTAGGATCTGATTGAAGAGCCCACTAAGTGGACTGGAATTTATCTTAACCTCACCTGTAACAGATTTGAAACACCCTTGTGTGAGAAGAAGCAGATGGTTGCTATCCCAAGGTGGTTGGACTTTGGTTCCTATCACTTGCTTTGAAAGCACCCATGAATGGCAGCGTGGGACTATCAAACATTTGCTATTTCCATGCTCTCTTTGCTTTTTAATGACATGTCTTAGTCTGTCAGGCATGGTTGCAACTTTGTGAAGGAGCATGATTGAAAGTTTTGCCTTATCTCCACCCTCATCTTTTGTTTAAAGAGTGTCCAGTCACTCTTTATCTTTTTATCTGTGCATGTCAACAATGCATGTCCTTTGCTCTAAAAAGCTGAATATAAATGTATACTTTACTTCTCTAAAGACTATTTGAAATTCTATAACATTGACAAAAGTAACGATACTATCACCAAAGAAAGTTGACCCAACAGATTACTAAATTACAGAAAAATGTCACTGATACCACATGCAAGTAAAATTTTGCCGAAGATCGTCAAACAACATTTGCAGCAGTACATTGCCAAGGAATTGTCAGAGGTTCAGGCTGGATTCAGAGGAGGATATGGAACAAATGATATCATTGCTGATGTCAGATGGATCTTGGCTGAAAGCAAAAATACCGGAATGGTGTTTTCTTGCATTTTATTGACTATGCCAAAGCTTTTGAATGTGGAGCTCATACAAACTATGGGTAGGCTAGAGAAGAACAAGAATTCCAGAACACTTAATTGCGCTTACCTGTACATGAATGATGAGGCAGTTGTGTGAACAGAACAAGGAAATACTGCAAGGTTTTAAATCAGAAAAGGTGTGTGTCATGGTTATATCCTCTCACCATATTTTCAATCAGGGAAGTTGTCTTATATGAAGAAGCATGTGGTATCAGGATCACAGAGAGGCTTATTAACAACCTTCAATATGCAAAAGACAACATTGCTTGCTGAAAGTGAAAAGGACTTAAAGCACTTGCTGATGAAGATCAAGGATTGAAGTCTTCAGTGTGGATTATGAATCAATGTCAAGAAGACCAAATCCTCACAATTGGACCAACAGATAAAATCACGAATTGAGAAAAGGTTGACATTGTCAAGGATTTTGCCTTGGGTGGAGCTACAATCAATGCTCATGGAAGCAGCAGTCAAGAGATCAAAAGACACGTTGCCTTGGGTAAAGCTGCTGCACAAGATCTCTTTAGAATGCTGACAGGCAAAGATGATATTTAGAGGACTAGGATGCACTTGACCCAAGCCATGGTATTTTCAATGGCTTCATATGCATGTGAAAGTTGGACATTGAATAAGGAACACCAAAGAAGAATTGATGTATTTGAATTGTGGTCCTTATGAATAATATTAAAAATACCATGGAATCCCAGGGGAAAAAAATCTGTCTTGGAAGAAGCAAAGCAAAAGTCCTCTTTAGAGGTGAGGATGGTGATACTTGGACCACATACTTTGGACATGTTATCAAAAGAGACCAGTCCCTGGAGAAGGGAGCATGCTTGGGAGCAAACAAGAGGGAGGCCCTCAAGGAGGTAGATTGACGCTATGGCTGCAACAATAGGTTCAAATATAGGAGCAATTGTGAGGATGGCACAGGACTAGGCAGTGTTTGTTCTGTTGTGCACTGTGGGTCAGAACCCACTCAATGGTACCTGACAACAAGAGTGTAACATTATATGTATATACTACATTTTGTTCATCCATTCACCTATTCATGGGCGTTTTGATTGTTTCCATATCTTTGCTATTGCAAGTAATGTTACAATTAGCATGAGTGTGCATATGCCAGTCCATGTCACTTCCATTAAGTGTCTAGGTTTTTCTCCCCCTCCAAACCATTTTATTAGGAGCTAATCCAGATACCATGCCATTCCATAGTACAATTACATCAAGCAGTATTGTATAATTGCTACCACAATCAATTTCAAGACTTTTTTCCCTTTATCATTTAATCTATGATAGTCGTCTCTACAACACTCTCTGCCTGGTAACCAGTGAATTCCCAACCTTAAATTATGATTAAAAGGAAATCATTGGAGGCTTAGTCCCTGTGTAGATTCTGCAACTGTATTTTGGGCTTCCACTGTCATCCATAGCCCTCTGCACACCAGAATCTCACAATTTAAGTCTGACAATATTCCCTCCTTTGGCTTTGGATTATATAATTTACAATCCTTGGGTCACAGAGGTTGATGTGCTTCTTCCATATGGGCTTAGTTGATGTCTCACTTAGATGGCTGCTTGTTTGGAAACAAGCTTTTAAGACCTCAGACTATTCTATCTGATAGCTTGGCACCATCTACCTTCTTCACCACACTTTGCTATAGGTGGGTGTCTACTTTTTTTTAAAGGAAATGTCATTTTTTATAGTTGTTGCAGAATTTTACTATCCTACAAGCAATGGATAAGGGCTCCCATCTTGCCACGTTTGTGTAAATGTTCATTTTAAATTTTTGTTTGGATTGGTTTAGTTTTTAATAATGCCACTTTAGCTTGGGTTGGATGATAGTGTGTAGTTTTGATGTACACCTCTATCTAGTAGCTAATGCCCTGGTGGGATAGTGGGTTACATTTTGGACTACTAATTGCCAGGTCAGTAGTTAAACCCCCCAGCTACTTGTGGGGAAAGATGAGGCTATCTATGACAGTAAAAATTTAGTCTTGAGAACCCTAAGGAGCAGTCTGTCCTCTGCCCTAGAGGATTTCTATGAGTTGTAATCAACTCAGTGACAGTAGGTTTGGGTTTTGGTTTTAGTGGCCAATGATCATGAACATCTTTTCATGTGCTTATT